TTTGGAGAGGATTAGGATATTTAAAAATTGGGGTTGACCGAATCCTTGGTATAAAAAAGAAATTTTTTAGCAAAAAAAAGGACTTGTGTGATGGAAGAAGTGTAAAGATGTCCTCCAGTTTAAGGAGTATGTCAAGTGTGGAATGAAGAAAGGTGCTTATTGCCTCGTGTCCTCCTACAGGCGATCCTAGATGTGTTAATTCAACGCTTGATGTGAATTTGAAATCGTGAGAGTTGGGAGCATTAGAATTTAAATGTGAGAATTCAGATTTGCTCTGGTTAAGCGAAAGTCCAATGGCTGTGCCCTTTTCTTTAATTATGTTGACTGCTTTGGCAATTTCACTACAGGGAACACTCAAGATTCCATCATCAATATACCAAGCGTGGAGCGATAGAGTACATGAAGAGTTTATTGATTTTATCATGTCATTGATTCCAAGACTGTGATTGGTAGCAAGAGAAAAGAAATTTGGTGTAAGCGGGGAAATGGAAGCAAGTTAAATGTAGGAACGTGTTGCGCGAAAGAGTGTTGTAGGCGTTAGAGAAGTCAATTTTTACTAGGGATTCGTTTTTTGGGTTATTTTCAAGGTGAATTCTTGTTAAGTGCACAGCAGCTTCACACCTACCAGGTATCCCTACACCAAGTTGGTAGGGGCTTAGAATGTGTGCGGCATCGTGTTTGATTCTAGATGCAATTAATTTAGCGACCAATCTACGGTAAGTTAAACCAATGGCGATGGACCGAATGTCCATGTTTGGTTTTTGGAGGCCGAATCCCGATGAAAAGATAGGATTGCTTTCCTTACTTCATCCTGTGTGAAGTCTGCAGCACAATGGGAGTAGGGTTGGGGCAATATTGGCATAAATGTTGTTGTGGGATGCTTTGATCGAAACTTAATTAAGGTATCTAAATTGGATTCCGCCAGAGTGTCATTGGTTGAAATGAGTTTGAGGGCCCCTTTGATATTAAGACTGTCAATTTTCTTCGAAATCAATGAGGCTTTTTGTTGAAGTGGGGTTATTTTTTTTTTGTTTTTGGGATGTCTGGAGATTTGGGACTCATGAAGATGAGTGTTGATGTTTAAACAGGCATCTTTTATTTGTTGAGTTAAGGATTTTTGGAGTGATATGTCAGGTATTTTAAAAGTATTGTACCCAAAGTTTAGAAATTTTAACCATTCTTCTTCTTTGTTAAAATTTTGCAAAAGAGAAGATATGCAGTTGCTGAGAGATTTAGCTACTTGTATTCTCGCTCCTTTGGATATTCTCGTTATGATACTTGGTTTTGTGGAGTTAAGAAAAATATCTGAGAATGAGGCACCAATTACTTGGTTTAGGGGGGGATCTATGAGAGGGAGGGGAAGTGAGTAAGTGAATTGAGAAGGAGGCGTGTGTTTTGAATGCGGACACCTGTTAGAGATTGGTCCATGAACAAAAAATTCTCCTACATTTGTTAAATGTATTGGTTTCAGGCAGGATGGGCAGATTTTGCGTTCATGGGGAATGGCCATAGGTATAAAAAAAAAATACAGCCAATAATAAAGCAAAAGCGCCTGTGAGAGGTCTGTTGATTGATGTGCAAAAATAGCGAAGGAATGAATATGTATGTCAGAAAAATCGAGCAACGAGCGAGAAAGATGTTAAATATGAGAGGTTTCAAATAAAAAAAGGATTAATTATTAAAATAATATATTTAGAAAAACAATTAATTTTTTTTAAAGTTCAAGTTTTTAGTTCTCCATTGTTTTGAGTTTACAATTAAGTTTAAAAATATTATTTTTACTTTTATAATTTTGTTAATTTGATAATGTTATAATTTTGAATATGATTAATTTATATATAATTTTAATTAAAGAAATTAAAAATTTGTATTTAATTTTAATTTTCTTCTATTTAAGTTATATTATTTCCTTTAATCCCATAATATATAATTTAATTCCTTTTAATTATAATTAATTATTTTAAAAAATAATTTATATTTGCATTTTAAATTTCGATAATATTAAATCCGCAAGTTGGCGTATAATATTATTTTTTGATTTCATTTTAAAATTATATTATTTTATTTATTTTTTTAAATAAATGATAAACTTTATACGGTAAAAAAATAAAACAGAACATGAACATTTATATACGCTATTGAATTAAAAATATATATTTATATTATTACTTAAAAAGGTGTTCGAATGTTTAATATTATTTTTGAAATATATACACCAACTTGCGGATATAATATTATCGAAATTTAAAGTGTAATAATAATTATATTAAAAGCATTTTAACTATTTATTATGGGATAAAAGGAAATACACCTATTAATTGTATATTCCTTTATTATTGAAGATATCTAATAATTTAATTTTTTTTACAAGTTATTTATATCGTAAGAAAATGAATCTCACTCCGATTAATAGAGAATATATCGAAAATTACTAATTTTAAGCCGCTATTAAATATTAAAGTATCAAAGCTATAACCATATCGAATCTCATATCTTAAAAGATGTTAAGATTTTTCATATTGATAATAATAGTAAAACCTATTTTAAATATTTGGTCTATTAAATTTTTTTTTAAAAATTCCTTTTGTACTTCTAGAATTTTGGTATCAATTTTTTAGTAATTTTTATATTTTGAATAACTTTCTGATTTATGCTGTTTACCCAACCGACGATTGAAGATTAAAACTAAGGTGTATATACTTTAAGCATTACATATTAGCTTAAGCTTTAGAAAATTAAGGTGCTTTTCAAAAATTTTGGCATAGTTTCATACTTAGAGCCGCGTCTTAATTTCAGAATTTACATCAAATTTTAACTCGATTTATATTAAATGAGATTTAAATTTATTTCTTTATATATTTATTAAACAAACTTATAGAAATAAAAAAAATCTATGAATATTCCATAGAATCATAAAATTCGAAAATATCTTGAATTGGGAAAGAGGAACCTTAGTTGTATTCAGAGATAAAATTAATTTTTGAATCATAATTTAAAATTCGATATCTAAGATTCAGCCTAAGACGTTCCGTAATTTTTATTTGACTTATAACTGGATTTCATTTATTGGTTGAAAAAAAAGAAAACGATAAACTAGTATAAGTACTAATCATGCATTATATATTATTGTTTACTTCCTTCTAGAATTTTCTTTCTAGCATGACCCCTATTTTGGCGATTTTATATTCACTGATGATTGACATACATTTCCGAGTCCGAGATAATGCTTCAAAATGTTTCGCTAACGATACGCACGATATCATCATAATTAGGCTACTTTTTTTTATTGACTGGCGATATTAAGGAATTAGTGAGATACTAAATATTAACGCAAACCAGATAGTTAGATATTTTCCCATTCAGGAATGATGCAAATTTTGACAATTTTATATTGTTTTTTACCTCATAATTCATTTCCTCTTTAAAACCAACTATACCAAACAGAATGAAGCAATAAAAATATGCTAATAAAGCCTTACTTCAAAGTTTACTAAAACAGTGGTCACCAATCCTAGAAGAACTAATAATACCCAACCTTAAAGGGTGGGAAATATATTATAATACTAGTGTAAGGATGGATACTAATAATTCTAATAGAGCTTAATAAAACTCTAGGGATAAGTATTATAAAAGGTTTTATAGAATGGTTAGTATAAGTTTCAGAAATAGTGTTTCCAAGAGATTGGCTCATTTCACACTTGAAGCCTGACGTCGTTGTTTTCATTTTGTTTGTAAGCCAGTTTCATTAAATTGAAGTTACCAGACAGTCATTAAATATTGACGTCGCCAGAGTTTTTTTTATATTTTTCATTTTTGCACGACATCTATTTTGGCAATTCTTACCGAACGGATAAAATTATTATACAATTAATCTCTAAGCAATAAATAAAATTTACAGAATAAATAACTTTCAGCCACTTTTTAATCATCTTAAAATCGTTCAAAAAAGTTTTCCTTTATTACTAGCTATTATATTGGTTTTAGTCTCAAACACTAATAAAGCATAAAAGATGCCTTATTTAAGAATTAGAGCTTGTTCAACCATCTTTAATAGAGATTATATAAAGACCACTGAAAACAAAATCAATAATATATAAGAATTGCCCCTCCCCCCCCCCCAACCTCAATGAAAAATCCTGACTATGCCACCGTATCTAATATCAAGAAATAATATCAATTTCTTTAAAAATATATGTTTTTACGTTTATAAAATATCCAAAAAATATAATATTATAGTGAGTTATCTGATTTGGAATGTACCCATTATCGTCAGTCTAGAAATGAAGTGCTCCACTTGCGGAAATGTTTAAAATGGGAAAATAAGCATTTAAAGTTTTAAAATCAAAGATAGGAGAAGCTTATTTGATCAATATTGACGGGAGCTATAACTTTGGCAAAAATTAATAATTTTTTTTAAGCCTACTTTTTTATTTATATAGATATATGTATATTGAGAATAAATAAGTGATTATCCGCTTCTAAATTCGAAATTTTTGAAAAATGTCGAATAGATCCAATTCTAGACTGACGATATATTGATTCAAAATATAGCATAAGACCGGGCATACATTTAAAAATATTAAAAGTTAAATTTTCTAAAATATGGTCAGATTATATGCGAAATACACTAACATTTATATTTCTATAGCACTTTTAAGAGCGTTTTGAGGGATAAAACTGGCCCCGAAAAAAAAAATGTAAAATGTTTCAAAATAAAAATACCAAATTTTGCGTTTTTTTTAAAAAAAAAAATAGTTTTTATGATTAGCGAGACACTTTAAACCTTTCGTTTCGCATTTAAATTCTATTTTAAAAAATAATATCCTTTAACCCTTTATTTTTTTTATTATCACTCAAAAGCTTAGAAAAATCGTTTACAATATTTAATATTTCCATCTGGTATTTTTAAAAGTGAGTTCCATATTATTGCATTTTTCTTAACAGGCTACTCATTCACAATGATTATGTTCTATACTTAATCTGAATAAATAAATGATACTATGAATCCAGTTTTTGGTGAAATTCTGATGATTATAAGAATCTTCGAAGAAGAGAAAAAAAAATAATTAAATACAGAATCATATGTTTTTATTTGATTGAATAACTGGGAACTGAATGGAAAAATTTTTCCCTTATTATTACAAAAAAAATGGTTTCTTTAATTATTATATGGAAAATTTATAAAAATATAAATAAATTTTTAAGAGTTGTTTAAGTACCTAGATACAAGTATCTAGATCCTGTATCTAGATATACAAATGTGGTACCTGTATCTGTATCTAGATATATTTTTGATTAAAATATCTGTATCTGTATCTAGATATTATTTTAGACGTATCTGTATCTGTTTTTAGATACTTTTTAGGAGACATTTTGTTATACTTTTATTTAACGTTTTTTATATTATAAACAAAAATACTTGAATGCAAAATTTTATTTCATATGAGCATATAATTTTAATATATATATTAAAAAATATTTAGACTACTTCTAATAAAAAATTATATATATATAAAATATATAAAAAAAATAGATATATATTCATTAAATATTATGTCAGAGTTTATCAATAAACCAGACAAATTTTGATATTACAATGCAACTCAAGAAATCTGCCATTTTAATTTTCAATAAAATTAGTAAATTTTATTTTATTATACTAATTTTAGAATTTTATTTTAGATTAATATTAATAGTGATGAAAAGGAAGAGGAAGAGGAAGAGGAAGAGGAAGAGGAAGAGGAAGAGGAAGAGGAAGAGGAAGAGGAAGAGGAAGAGGAAGAGGAAGAGGAAGAGGAAGAGGAAGAGGAAGAGGAAGAGGAAGAGGAAGAGGAAGAGGAAGAGGAAGAGGAAGAGGAAGAGGAAGAGGAAGAGGAAGAGGAAGAGGAAGAGGAAGAGGAAGAGGAAGAGGAAGAGGAAGAGAAGAGGAAGAGGAAGAGGAAGAGGAAGAGGAAGAGGAAGAGGAAGAGGAAGAGGAAGAGGAAGAGGAAGAGGAAGAGGAAGAGGAAGAGGAAGAGGAAGAGGAAGAGGAAGAGGAAGAGGAAGAGGAAGAGGAAGAGGAAGAGGAAGAGGAAGAGGAAGAGGAAGAGGAAGAGGAAGAGGAAGAGGAAGAGGAAGAGGAAGAGGAAGAGGAAGAGGAAGAGGAAGAGGAAGAGGAAGAGGAAGAGGAAGAGGAAGAGGAAGAGGAAGAGGAAGAGGAAGAGGAAGAGGAAGAGGAAGAGGAAGAGGAAGAGGAAGAGGAAGAGGAGGAAGAGGAAGAGGAAGAGGAAGAGGAAGAGGAAGAGGAAGAGGAAGAGGAAGAGGAAGAGGAAGAGGAAGAGGAAGAGGAAGAGGAAGAGGAAGAGGAAGAGGAAGAGGAAGAGGAAGAGGAAGAGGAAGAGGAAGAGGAAGAGGAAGAGGAAGAGGAAGAGGAAGAGGAAGAGGAAGAGGAAGAGGAAGAGGAAGAGGAAGAGGAAGAGGAAGAGGAAGAGGAAGAGGAAGAGGAAGAGGAAGAGGAAGAGGAAGAGGAAGAGGAAGAGGAAGAGGAAGAGGAAGAGGAAGAGGAAGAGGAAGAGGAAGAGGAAGAGGTAAGAGGAAGAGGAAGAGAAAGAGGAAGAGGAAGAGGAAGAGGAAGAGGAAGAGGAAGAGGAAGAGGAAGAGGAAGAGGAAGAGGAAGAGGAAGAGGAAGAGGAAGAGGAAGAGGAAGAGGAAGAGGAAGAGGAAGAGGAAGAGGAAGAGGAAGAGGAAGAGGAAGAGGAAGAGGAAGAGGAAGAGGAAGAGGAAGAGGAAAAGGAAGAGGAAGAGGAAGAGGAAGAGGAAGAGGAAGAGGAAGAGGAAGAGGAAGAGGAAGAGGAAGAGGAAGAGGAAGAGGAAGAGGAAGAGGAAGAGGAAGAGGAAGAGGAAGAGGAAGAGGAAGAAGTAATAATCAATGAAGCATCAATAAGTTCAGATATTGATTTTATGGCCAATTTATAAAGCATATTTTAAAATAATATCTCAAAATAAAAAAAACAAAACTCTGATAGTAAATTGTTTGCCATATCTATAAAAAAAATACCAAAATTTTAGTTAGCCTTACCTCAACTTGCAACATTGTAAAACATTTAAGTGTAATAAAATGTTTAAAATTGTAATTTTCAATTTTAAAAGAAAAAATCAAACACTGTTAATGAAAAAAAAAATTAATACAAAGGTTAGTTGATGAATTATCAAGATCTTCAACTGAATGCAAACAAATAACCCGCGAAAAAAAAACAATTAATTTAATATCCTATTTTTTTCAGTACTCCACAGCAGTAGATATGATTGTTAATAATGATTGAAATTTTGATAATCAACAAATTTTATAAAATTTTTTTCGAAAATGAATGTCGAGACTTTATATTTTTGAAGAATATCCTGATATAAAATTGTTATTCATAAAATATAACACCACAATCCCTTCAAGTGCTAAGGTAGAAAGGCTTTTTAGTATAGCTAAAAATGTCTTTACGGATTAACGAAGATGCCTTAAGGACCAAAATTCTGAAAATATTTTATTGCTGAAATCTAATAATTATTTATAATCATTTAATCATATATTTTTATATATTATATTATTACATTAAAATCTAAAATTCATTATTTTAATTTTAATAAATGCGATATCTAAAGTTTTTATCTCATTTCACACATTTTCACAATAGAATCCTAATTTAGGTTTATGCAATTATATAAGAGCATTAAAATATTGTATCTGTATCTAGATACATTTTGAAATTGTATCTGTATCAAGATAACTTTTTAGACGATGTATCTGTATCTGAATCTTGACAACATTTTTGACGATGTATCTGTATCTATAAACTAGATCCATTTAAAAAGTATCTTTTAACAACTCTGAAACCTTTAAACTAAATAAATTTTTTAAAAAAAATGTTTATATATAGATTCAAATAGTTTAAGAAAAAAAATTATTAACGCAAGGTAAAGCTAAAAGCAGTTTTAAAACATTTAATAAATTTGGGCTTTAAGATAGTATTTTTAATTTGTAGTTATTTAATCAGGATATTTCAATAAGTCCCTTTCAGATAGCATCCAATATTTTTTAATAATTTTTATATAAATGAACATCTAAAATATAAGATTAATGAACATAGTTAAAATGAAAATAAAGGGGGATATAACAATATGTGTGTTCAAGTTTCCTAGTGAGCCAATCGAAAAATAACTAGATAACATCGATATTTTTAATACTAATATGGTATAATAAATATCACATTCATATTACTAACAAATAAAATTATATTCATCATGAATTTATTATTTAAACAAAAGTACATGTGTCTTATACACATCAGTGTAAGTTATTAATAGATAAGAAATAACAAGAAGAAAAAAAGAAAAAATTTGGTATTACAAGTTCATGAGATACTAAATATATTCTATTAGTGTGTGTTATGGTATCCATCAGTGGGGTACCGCACTGTTTTAATCTTCTAGAAATTATATTGATTCTCTGTCCAAGGTGTAAAAACTCTTTAAATTATCGTTTCTTGATTCTTGAAGTAGGCTAAGGAATGAGTGCCAAAGAAATTTTGATTGGTTATAAATACATAGATAGGATAAATGATGATTTCAAATATTCATATATCAATTCTCGTTGGTATAGATGTCAAACAAATTCTTGTTACGTATGATCTATAATATCTATTTAATTGAAATTTGATTAAAGTTCTGATGGAGGAATTAAAAATAATATTGACGTAGACGTTTATGGCATGATTGCTATACTTTAAAAAATAAACGATAGCCTGAACCTTGATTATCGTGCTGGAAGCTCCTTCTACCCAAGATTGATTTGTCACAAAAACGAAAATCACGTATGGCAAGTTCAACAGCAAAAATTCGACGCCAACAGCCAGAGTGAGAATGTATTTGTCTAGATAAAATTTCGATGATTTCGCGGTCTTATCGTTTTGAGCATTTTTTGGCAATTGGAATCTTGCATGATAAATAGCTTGCTTTGGAGGAGAACTAATCTTTGGGGTTGTTCTATTATAGAGGAATTTACCCATCCGAGCTTTGAGGCCTAATATATGATTGGGTCTAATATTTTGATTGGGCATCGTTAAATTACTTTCAATATTTGTGGTGGAAATATATGATTCCCTAGATCGAATATTGATGGTTCCTAGCTTCTTCAATTTAACCAAAACAAAAATTTGAGAGAATACGATTAGCAAGGAAGGTAGCAAATAGACTAGGAAACTGAAAAATTTGTCGTAGCGAATAGAGAAGGAATCAAAAAATTTACTCATTATATAGTAATATGAATATTTTCTGGGAAATTTTGAGAGTCTAGACTGGCATGAAACCTGCTGATATAATACTATAACTGTCGTATTTTGTCTACTAGAAGAATTCATGTCTCTAACACCCTTCTTTAAATCTATATAGAATAGGTAAGGCATAGAGAAAAATATGGAAAAAATGAAAATCGAGACCATTAGCAGTATGCCACTTTTTCTTGTCTTCCTTAGCGTTAAAAGATGGCCAAAAAATTGACGCGTATAATTCAAATACGCGCTATATTTTTTAGAGGAGGACTCATTTATGCGTTCGTTTTTCGCGCCATTCCGATGCGTCAAGTTAGCGAATTGGTAGGGGAAATATATAGCCACGAATCTATTCATAGAAAGAATCGCGGTATTCCAGTTTAAGTTGTTGGCGCATACCTCTTCCACGAAGAACGTGACTCTGGCTATCATAGTCATAAAGAATTTATTCGTTATTCCGAAACAGCTGCTCGAATAATAGAGGAATGGGAAAAAAATGAAATTGACGCACGCTACAACGTCCTATAATAGATTCGCGTATATGATGACGTAGAAATGAGTCGTAGAATCATTCACGATTTTGATTGATGGTATGTGGAGGGCGACATTTTATTCGAGTTGATTCGAATTTTGTTAGAATTTTTGGACATGATATCACCTTTGTTGTCCGGGTGATTGTCGTTCGTATTTACAGGAACGCTTCCATCTTTGTTGTAGTACTTTATTTTGAAAGTGTAGATGAAATAGAAAATATTACCTGCGATACCCAAGAAAAGAAATGGCCCTAATATGTATACGTACAGTAATTTTTCTAGCCAAATGATATTCTTCTCAATATACTTATTCAGAGTAATATTTACGAAGCATTTCAAAGAAAGATTATGGGCGTTCATATTGTTATTCATTTGATTGTAATCTAGTTTTGATTGATTTTCTTGTATATACCGAATCAATAAATAATATTAGTTTTTTATTTATTAAATAATATTATATAATTTAATATCATAAATTGATTTTATTTATTTGCTTTATCATTTTTTTTTGCTATTTTTTTAATTTAATAAATTATTTTCCATTAGAATATTAAAAATTAAAATTAGATATTTTTATTAATAATATTATATATTTTATAAATGTTAAATATTTTTTTTATTTATTCAAAAATTAAAAAATATTTTTAAAAAATATAAAAAAATAATACTTATTATTTACGCTAAAAAAAAATATGTACTGGTAAAAATCATCTAATGAGATGCACACTCATATATATTTGTTAGCGTCAATATTATTATCCGGCAATGTGTTATTTTTTCAATTTTAGATCAAGAAGAGAAGAGAAGAGAAGAGAAGAGAAGAGAAGAGAAGAGAAGAGAAGAGAAGAGAAGAGAAGAGAAGAGAAGAGAAGAGAAGAGAAGAGAAGAGAAGAGAAGAGAAGAGAAGAGAAGAGAAGAGAAAACATTTCTGAAAACCATTAAAAGCATTCTTCCTGGGACATTCATATACAAAACGTATATTAAAAAACTACAGTCTTAATATCATTTTTGAAGAAATTTTATACCACTCAAAAAATTAGATTATAAATCAATAAAGACACTGCGACCATATGGTATTCTTTGTGTGAATGGCTAACATGGGTTTTTATTATGTGGGATAGGAGTGTTACAATTTAGGAGAGACATCACCCCACAAACCCAATTTTGCTTAGCCTCCTGCAGATTCTTCTGATAATAAAATCTAATTAGGGGATTCTTGTTTAAAATTATTCTTTAACCCACCCTTTATTATTTTTATTTCGGCAAAGTAAGAAGAAATAATATTAATTATTTAAAACTCGACTGAAAAGCAACTTTTCTAAAACTTTTAGGGATCAATGATTAGTGCTTAACTAGTATATCATTCGGCTAGAATTGGGCGCCACTTGCGCAAATGTTTAAAATGAAAAAATCAGCATTAAAGTTTAAAATCAAAATATAAGAAAAACTTATTGATCAATCTTGACAGAATCTATAACATTATAGCAAAAAAAATTAATATTTATCTAATCTAGTTTTTATTTGTATATACTATATTGGGAATAAATAAGTTATTATACACTAATTACGAAAATTTTGAAAATATCGAATGGAGCACTCTAATTCTAAACCGACGATATAGTGAACGGAATTATAAAAGCAGCCAAAATTAAATTGCATTTTTTTAGTGCTTATGGTTTAGATTACAAAGATAAAAGTATATTATTCGGTATAAATAATATAAAAACAAACCAGAACAAAAATTAAGCGAACAATATCTGGCTAGAGCCAATATTTTGTGGTAAATTAGCGACTTTAATTTCGTCAATCAGTCTCTTCAGAAGGCAATATGGTAATGAAGTCATAACTACTTAATACATTTTTTACACTTAATTTGGATATAGTTTGTCAATCAATATTGTGTCTTAGAGTCAAGCTATTAGATTAGAAAATTGAATTAAGCTTCTAAGTTGAGTCTCGGCTTGATGTTTGCTTAGAATATTTATGGATAAAAATATGGCTATGCTATTTAATAGTAGTTGACTACAGATAGGTAGTTTAACAACACCAGTTGTAATATTTGTATTTTAAACATCTAAAAAAATTAATCTTGCTAGATAGACAGTTAGATGATCAATAATCAATTTTTAAAATAGCGCATGAAAAACTATAGTTAAGAGTTTAAGATTCAAAAGAATGTTTAAATGAAAATATAGTAAAAAAACTATTTTTTATATAATTGTAACACGTATATACAATATTTTTGAGATTATTATGAAAATGATTAGATCCAATTTTTAAATCATAACCTAACAAAAGAAGAATATTTTATTTTACGAATCCAGGGACGGGGTGGTAATTTATTTCCAAAAATTATTATTTATACCATAACAGATATCCAACTTTAACCAAGTTATACGTGATTACAAAATACTAATAAAGAAAATAATATATGCTGTAGCACTAACCTACATTTATTTTAGTTAAGCATTATACATATTTGGCTTAAACTACAGAATTAGTGTGTGAAAAATTTGGCCAAACTTCATTCTTAAGGCATATTAGATTTCAGATTCTTCATTAAATTAAATATGTATAAAAGATAGCAAAAATAGTAAGATCGTGAATTAGAAAAAATCATTTATTTCACTTAGATGTAATTTATTTTTTAATTCACAAATTTGCTTCATTAAATTTTTTATAACCAGCTGTTAATTAATCCATTTATTAATTTTGCACAATCTCATGTTTAGAAAATTTGCTTTAAGAACGGAATAAAAAAAAGGTATTCACTATCGAACCCCACGAGGTATACATGAATCGCGAAGAATTCGAATGCGGAAAAAAAACGAATTTTTTTGAACGTCGAAGTCGCTCATATACTATTTTTCGACTAAAAAATATTTATTAAAATTATATATAGCCTGATAGATTTTTTTTAATAAATAGGGCTGTATCTGCTGGTTACGGTGTCCAAACTAGAGGAAATTGCCGTTACAAACAGCTGATTTCTTTAAATTTCTATTCGATTATTTAATAAATATTCCAAAAATCGCACATTATACAAATATTTACGAAACATATATATATATATATAACAAAATTTACATTAAATATAAATTATGGTTTTAATAAATAAATAAGGTGACGTTCGTAATTTGTTTACGTTACAAATAAATTCAAAATGAGATCATGTTTATATATATATATTATAACAAATATTACAAATCCTCGACTTTCAAAACGACAAAATATTGGATGAAAAATTAATCTTCACGTCCATCTCCGCGATATCCGCTTCAAGCCGGCCAATCAATTTTTGGGCCTTGTTCAAACCTTTGGAATCGGACATGCTGTCAACTTTTTTCCTTATTTCTTTTTTCGTTTCTTCGACATCGGCCGTCAACTTTTTAAGAAAATAATTTTAGATTACATTATTATTTTAATTTTCTTTTCAACTTAAATTCTAAGGTTTAATCAATGACGTATAATATAATACTTAGACTGACGATGCGTTCATAATAATGCCTTTGAAAGCGTCGTTGAATGCAAATCAGCTGGAGCCGCCATTTTGATAAACCCATATGTAGTAATTATTCTCATGTTATAAAAAACTACTATTTACATTGATTAACTTGTTTCCTTATAATCTCGATGATGGGGCAATTCTTTCAATAAAGTTTGCGTTCAGACATGGGAATAAATTTGCCTTCTCGTTTAAATTTTTTTTTAATAAGGATATGGGTAATCAAAATGGCGTCCCCAGCTATTTTTCATTGATGTACACTTGTAATGAATGCATCCATTCTAGGTATTATTATATGTCATTGATCAATATCTATCCAGTGACCCGCCATTTTTGCGCTAAATTATCACGTTCAGGTTAAATTTAATACAATAATAAAAATAATATTATACTTATTTCAATGATACTGATAATTATTATTTTATTTATTATAGTTCAATCATATTATTATAATATAACCGGTTATTTAACACAGCTGTGACTATTTCAGAATTATGAAGAAACAATCTCTAATTAATTCCTATTCCAAGTTCAATAAATGTCAGGCAACATTGCAGCCTCTAACCAATTACTAGTACTACTACCACTTACATCAGAAATTCCTGAAACTGATTCTGCCATAGTTAAGTATAAATTTTCTATTATCATGTTTTATTTAGATGAGAAAATATTTTTTTTTTAATTTTAACCCTTCAATACTCCGGTATAAAAAAAAATTTCTAATGTATATATATATCTCCAGTTATATAATCATGATAATTCATAATATGATGAATATTTATTCTTCAATAGAATATTGAATTATGTTAAATTTGACATGCAAAACAATTTATTACATAAACATGTAGGTTTTAATTAAATATTTTAGATACAAAAATTATTTTCAATAAAAACCTGCGATCTTATGACATTTTTGATATTTTATTTGATTTGGTTTTAAGAATATTCGTGATTTCTTAATTAGTCGATAATAATAACTTATACAAACATAAAATCATAACATTTTTATAATATAACTATAAAGGTAGGGGTAAATATGGTAAGACCAAATGAACAGAAAATTATTCAATTTTCAAAAGGGTCATATCAATGGTCCCTTAACAATAGTTTTACACACTTCTTAACATAACATCCGTTAATTCTCGTATTATATATACAGCAAACACAAAAAAATATCTATTGGTAGAAGTAATTTTTTAAAAAAAAAATTAGCAACCGAACTCATTAGCCTATATTTAAAAGTAAGACAAAAAAAATGTCTCAGATTGCCGCGACTTCTGGAAGAATCTACTATTTACTATATATTAGGCAAAGAGCAAAATGAGAATATTAAGCCCTTCTCAATAGAAAGGTTGTAGTGTGTGTCCTAGATATAGAAGAATAAAAAAACAAATATTTTTGTCAAATAATGTAAAATAAAATTTATGTTAAGAAACACATCCATGTTTTATTGTAATAAATTGTTTCGCGTGTCAAATTTAGCATATTTTAATGTTCTATATTTTTATATTGAAGAACAGAGATCCATTATATTATGAATTATCAGGATTATATGATAGATTTTTTTAATTTAATATTCAAAATTTTAAGAAAATTTTGGCACAAATTATAAATAATCCTGATTATCTTTAATCTTAAGCTTGAGAAATAAAAAATATAACTAAATATTTTTTTAATCAAGATTTAAGGTTTAGTTTTATTTTATTATCGGAAATATTAAATCAAAATAAAAGAATATAACTGGACATATATATAAACATTAGAAATTGGTGAGTCTATTAAACCCCACCCGAGTACTAAGCGTTATTTCTTTTTTCACCGGAGTATATTGAAAGGTTTATAATGTAAAAAAAAATTATTTCCTCATCTAAATAAAACATGATAAATAGAAAATTTCTACTAACTATGGAGCAGAATCCGTTTCAGGAAATTTCTAAATGTAGTTAGTGGTACTAGTAGTTGGTTTAGAGGCGGCGATGTTGCTCTATATTTACTGAACTTGAAATAGGAATTAATTGAAGATTGTTTCTTCGTAATTCCGAGATATTCACAGCTGTTTTAAATAACTGGTTATATTATGATAATAATAAATGTGATTACACTATTTATAAATAAAATAATTATCAGTATCATTTTTGAAATAAATATTATTTTATTATGTACTTAATTTAACCTGAACGTGATAATTAAGCGCCAAGCCCTGTAATGTTATGCACCAAACATACTAAAAATGATAAAATAAAAATGAAATAAAATAAAATGATGTTGATTTTATTATTGGCTAAAAAATAAAAACAGGATAAGAAGGAAATTTAAAAACTAGACATGTTTTTCCGAATAAAATATTCTAAATTTATCTTAAAAATGTAAAAATAATCAATTACTGTCTCTCAAAATTATTATTTATATATTACAAAAACGTTAAAATGCTATAAAAAAAAATTGTGCGGGAGAAATTAAAAAATTGTGGGAGTCTCCCGCTGATGAGGGGGGGGGACATGGCAACCTTGTGGTAGAACAAAGAGTTAAACTTTTAAAAAGTATTTTTCTTTATAAGTTTTATTTCTTTTGTCAATTCTGATATTGGCGAGGAATTGTACGAATCATCAAGTGCTCAAATTAGCCTATTATATAGGAATAAGGAGGATAATAAAGTTCGAATAAAATCTAAAATAAATTTTTATTCGAATTTAAAAAATGCCGCTTAAAATAAAATGAATTCGCAAAAAATGAGGCGCGAAAAATAACATTTTAATGGCGAAAAGCAATTTTAACCTAAATCATCTATAACATCTCAAAATTCTCGTATCATTTATTAATCTTACGCTTAATGTTCCGAATCACGACACGAGAAAGGGCGGAAATCGTTTTTCAATCATTTAAAAGCATTCATCTTAGAAGGAGAAATACTAAGTTTCAACAATACGTGATGATATACAGAACACACATATTTCGATACTTTCGCTTGTATCAAAATTATAATCCCTCAATGGCTCATGCGAGCAAATTCCTAAGTAAGTCTTTAACCCCCCCCCCCTATCCCATATTGATCATTGACTTTTTTTTGAGATTTCAAAAAAACCCCTGAATGAACAGCGTTTCTTTATTTAAAAGATAAAATAAGAAAAGGGAACTTAAATATGGCGATCGGAAAAAAATTATGATTCTTAAAGGAATACATCTCATTCTATTCCAAAAAATTTTACCTCCCCTTATTAATTATCAGAGTTGTTAAAGGATCTAGATACAAGTATCTAGATCCTGTATCTAGATATAAAAATGTGGTATCTGTATCTAGATAGATTTTTGATTGAGATATCGGTATCTAGATATTATTTTAGATGATGTATCTGTATCTAGATCCATTTAAAAAGTATCTTTTAACAACTCTGTTAATTATAATAAAAAAGAGAGAAAACTTTGTCCAAGAGCTTGGTCTTCTCCTCGATATCCGTCATCTCGATCAGAATCTCGTCTTTGATGAAGATCAAATTCCGGTGGCTATCTTTAAAATCTGGATATTTAGCGTCGACTAAGTCGTTGAGGTTCCTATTTTTTTTATTTATTTTTTTTGTGAGGCTGTATTTTAAAAGGAAGATTAAAAAAAATATATATTTAAAAAAAATAATTAATCCTCTTTACTATATACCAGAGTTGTTAAAGGATCTAGATACAAGTATCTAGATCATGTATCTAGATATAAAAATGTGGTATCTCTATCTAGATAGATTTTTGATTAAATAATCTGTATCTAGATATTATTTAAGACTTTGTATCTGTATCTAGATCCATTTAAAAAGTATCTTTTAACAACTCTGCTATATGCGCTTCGAATCTTTATTTGAGGGCGTTGCAGGCGAGGCAAAATTTCTAGATAAATGGGCGCGCGGGCCGGTAAAATAATTTGTAGATAGAACCATTATATAAAATATGAGAAATAAAATGAATTAAAGTTATATTTTGCACCGGAATCATCAAAAACGTAAAATTGTTTTGGATAACCTTATATAGATGTCAAGGCAAATGGTGTTATAATATCATCCAATCGTAAATTTTTTATATATAAACATCGATTTCGCCGGAATAATCGTAACATTAAATTTTTCTAGAAAAAGGGCGCGAAATTTTATTCCGCATTGGAGTCTGGGTTTATTTATTTTTTTAACTTTATTCGTAAGCTCTTTCGGGCTGAAACAGGAGGTAGTTAGGAACGGGGTTAATAAATAAATATTTATTATAACGAATTTTTTAAATTAGAAAATAAGAATTTAGTTGATTCTAAAAGGAGTCGGTAATGGTTGATATTTTGTCTTGGGTGGGTTTGTTTTGTATCGTTTTGCGATAACCGTTAATTCTATTACAATTAGACATCTGCAAAGTTAGGTCCGACCCGTATCCGGCCCGAACGGGCTTTGAGCCGGGATCGAAATTTATCAATTTTATATTAAATTTTTTTATAACGCCAAATAACATATGACTTTTATTTTGAGTAATTATAAAAATTAATTTCTAAATTCAAATAAATTCGGGCCGGCAAATCTATTTTAAAAAATTCCGGTTTCGGACCGGGTCGGGCTTGAAAAATTAGGCCCGATGCCATATCACTATTTACAATTATAAAATAAAATATCGATAAATTAACTTTCGTCAATGTATAATAACGCGTCATTCTTTTTAAAACTTTCCAGGGATCTTCGCAATAAATGATAAGCTCGAGAACTCCACAAATAAAGAGCGAAGATCATCATATTTCATGAAAACCATATTTTGGGCATCCAATTTGATAAGTTATTACAAATTTCGGATATTTGTCACTTACCCATAATTCCAGCTGGGAGTAAAAAAAAATAGATATTTGTGATATTTTTTTTTAAAACAATGTAATTAAAAATCTATCGTTTAAAGTGGCCAATTATTGCCATCTAACACAGGGAAAAATATTTCCATTTTATATCAATAAAGCCAAATAATAATTTAAAAGTTTTTTTTTTGTATCAACATATTTATTCAATTCTGTAAGATCCAATTTGTATTTCGATTTCAAATCAGTTATAGCATTATTCTTTTTCAAAAATACTATTAGATATGGGATATATAATTTCAATAAAATATTGTTACCCAGTAAGCTACATTTTAGAATTATTTATAAAAATAAGTGACTAATATTAAACCTATTAGTCTTTGTAACCTATTTTTTTGTGTATTTGTATTAACTTTGGTTAACCATAGCTAATCATTACCCATTGCAAGCATTTCAATACAAGCCTGTGTAACATTTTGAGGATTTAGAAGGATTGGGAGATTAGAACCGTAGTCAAATAAAGGAAAGTTAGAACTAAAATAATACTAAATCTTTATCAAATAATAAGATAAAAACATAATCAAAATAAATTAAAATAAATTAAAATTAAAAAATTAAAGATTAAAAAAAATTAAGTTCGTAAAATCATAATTATGAAAGATCGGCTAGTATGGTAAAAATTGGCCCCTTTATACTCTTTTCAATCTTCCTTATCACTAATATTCATAACTATTCAAATATAATATTTTTATCGCCCGTTATAATAATAAATCCAAAAGAATTCTTTATGCAAATTAAGGTACAAAGTTTACGAATATAACTTTATCACGCGTTATCATACTAAATCCAAAAGAATTCTTTATGCAAATTAAGGTACAAAGTTTACGAATATAACTTTATCACGCGTTATCATACTAAATCCAAAAGAACTCTTTATGCAAATTAAAGTACAAAGTTTACGAATATAACTTTATCACGCGTTATCATACTAAATCCAAAAGAATTCTTTATGCAAATTAAAGTACAAAGTACTCGAATATAACTTTATCACGCGTTATCATACTAAATCCAAAATAATTCTTTATGCAAATTAAAGTACAAAGTACTCGAATATAACAGCCTGATGCGAGCATTTCAATATCAAATTTTTATCCTTAATTCTTGCTAACGATCCATGTGCTTAGGGGTCATTAGAATCTTTTAAATTCATTTAACGATGCTATAATATGTTCATAAACATCTAAAAAAATTTATACAGCTTTGTAAGATGATGACCAAATTCTGTTTCATTAAAAATATTATAATTTACCTTGTGTTTTTTTTATATTCTTTTAAGAAATTTCTTAGACTTTCTCATTTGATATTTAGCAAACATCCCCCTTGACATCTGACTCCATTCATAAAATTGTATAACTCGTTGAATATTCCCATCGCCTTTTTTCATTTCGATTCAGCATCCACAAACATGAGCAACTACTAAATTTAGCCTAGTGCGTGGCACCAAATATAGATGGCTTTTGGAGCCTCCTTCACTATTAAAGCCCGCATTACTTCGTATACTCCTCTCATATACCCTGCCCCATCCATACTTTGCCCAACCAAATAATCAAGAGGGAATACCAAGATCTTTTAAATTTAGAAAAAAAAACATGTTTCTTTATAATCTTCCCAAGTGGTTTCAGATGTCGTAAAAACATGTACGATCCTTTCTACAGGAAGTGGATGCAGATCATCTTCTATATACCGTACAAGCAGAGCTATGCATTCTTTTTTGGACACATCGTATGTTCCTATGATGCCATTCTCATTAATAGTTTGAATAATTATCTTAATTTCAGTTATTTTTCTCACGTGATATGACAACAAATTAATATAAGGTCTTGGAATTATATCTGATTTTTTTATCCGCAATTAGCTGGAACCTTTACGCCACTAATTTCATGAGGAAGATAAAATTAACTTCATTCAATTAGAGCCCCTCTCCTGTAGAAAGGATTGTACATATTTTTACGACATCAGAAACCAATGGGGAAAATATAAAGAAACATGTTTTTTTTTCTAGCGTTTAAAGATCTTGGTCTTCCTCTTGATTATTTGATTGGGCAAAGTATGGATGGTGCAGGGAATATGAGAGGAGTATACAGAGGAATGCAAGAATTCAATATTGATAGAAGCTCCAAAGCCATCTATACTTGGTGCCATGCACATAGGCTAAATTTAGTAGTTGCTCATGTTTGTGGATGCAGAATCGAAATGAAAAAAAGGCAATGGGAATATGGGATGAGTTATATAATTTTATGAATGGAGTTAGATGTCAAGAGGGGGGTGTTTGTTAAATATCAAAATGAGAAAGTCAAAGAAATCTCTTAATCTATTATTCAGAAATCGGTCATCATCTTACAAAAGCTGTAGAAAATTTTTTTTAGACGTTTATGAGCATATTATAGCATCATAAGATAAATTTAAAAGATTCCAATGACCCCAAGCACCTCTTCCATTGCCGATGGATTATTAGCAAGAACTAAGGATGAAAATTTCATATTAAGTCTTATTTTTAAAAGAAATATTGAAATGCGCACATGGGGGCTTGCATTGAAGTGAGGTCAGTTGGTAATGATTTGGCTATGGTAAACCAAAATTAATACAACACACACAAAAAATTAATTACAACGACTAAGAAGGGTAATAGTAGTAACTTATTTCTATAAATAATTATAAAAATATAGCTAATAGGTGAGAATATTTAATTTTAAATTATAAATTCCATATCTAATAGTTTATTTTTTTTTTGAAAAAGAATAATGTTATAACTGATTTGTATTACCAATTATAGATAGGAAATATTTTTCCCTGCACTAGATAGCAACAATTAGCCACTTTAAATGATCAATTTTTTTAATCGCAAATATCTATTTTTTTTTTACTCCCCACTGGAATTATGGATAAGGATGGAATAGAAGTACTTATAAAATTGGGCGCCCAAACATATGGTTCACGAATATAAATGATTTTCGCTATTCCATATTCGGAATTCTCGAGCTTATCATTTATAGCGAAGATCCCTGGAAAGTTTTTTAAAAAAAAGAATGGCGCGTTATACATTGATGAAAAGTAAATTTATTGATATATATTTTAGAGGTATATCTCAAAATGATCCACGAATAAAATATAAACAACAAAATTTTGATCCAAAACAACAAAAAAAATGGCTAAAAATATTTGTTTTATTTATATATATTACCATTACCGACTTTTTTTAAAATCAAATCAAATTCTTATTCCTAATTTTTAAATTTATTATATTAAATATTAATAAATATTAAATTAATCCCCTTCCTAGCTACTTCCTGTTTCAGCCCGAAAGAGCTATATGAGTTAAGTTTAAAAAATAAAATAAAAAATAAACCAGACCCGAATGTGGTATAAAATTTCGGACTACTCTTTCTTAGAAAATTCAAACTGTCGAAGTCGATATTCCAGCGAAATTGACGTTTTTTTAAAATAATTTAGGATTGATGATATTATAACACAATTTGCCTTGACATCTATAAGGTTAATAAAACGTAAGTAAAGCACAAGTCGGTCAATTGACTGGAGGAGTTATTTGACCTGTCAAAAACGGTCAAATACTCTAAAAAAATTTAAAGGAAAAATAAATTATAAATATGTTTAAAAAGGGAAAAAAAAGATGTAAATACTTGTGATCACAATGTTTGCTTATTTTTCGGGTCCACAATATCAAGAGGAGAACTCACTAGTAGTGAAATTAATGAAGTATGTGTTATAATTCAAAAATTAGCTATTTTACAAGGTAGTGATGACGAAAATATTTTAAGTGATATAATTAATTTCAGAAGCAAAAACAGCAAGTTTAATATAGCAAATTATATGGAAAGTAGTAATTTCCAGAAACAATCAATTCCGACCTCAAGTTAATAGAATAAACTTTGTTTACCCTGCCCATTAAAGGACTAACAATTCCTAGTTCTACTTCTTCTTTAGAAAGAAATAGGTCGATTTGGGTTAATATTCTCATGAAAATAGAAATCGATTGAAGATCTAAGACATCAGGAAAATTGATTAAAAAATATTAAAGAAAATGATAATATTGAATAAGAATCAGAACAAGACTCTGATACAGATAGCTACACGTTAGTTATTGAATGACAATGAATTTAAAAAATTAATATTATAGATTCATTTTACTATTATATTCAAAATTTGAATTTGACCACATTTGACGGTCAAATGCACAACCCTGAATCACTGTAAATTTAATTATAACATTAGTTTTTTTTTAAATAATTCCAGTACAAAATTGCAAAATACACTGTATTCATTTTATTTCTAATATTTTATTATGATAGTTCTATCTACAATAAATGTTTTTAAATTTGAAATGAAAAGGTTAATATAGGTATTTTATAATTCAAGCCAAATTTACCTCTTTAAAGGTTAGTCTCATATATTTATTTACGATATTTTAAGATTGTTGTTTTTATATCTAACATAGCCAAAGGCCTACAATAAGTGGATAATAAAATTTACGGGGAGAAAAAAACCTACCCAATAACACCCACCCCCCCCTTTCCCATCCAAGCAAAATCCTGGTCTAGGCTTACGTATAGTATTAAAGCATTTTTGATTTCACCACTTTAAGTTTAAAATCGTACCTTTTTTACAAGGTATCCTTTATTTCGTTAATGAGCGAAGGGTGCCAATTTATTAGAGGAACCGCCAATCCCGTCCGACCCGCACCCGAGGCGAGCGGGCTTCGGACCGGATCTATTTTCAAATTAAAAAAAAATAATTTCGGGTTTAGCTGGGCCGGGCTTTAATATTCTTCTTTTTTTAAAAAAAAAATCGGGCCAAGGGCTTGAACGCTGGGCCGCTACTTTAATATCGATAAATATAATTAGTTGGCTAAAACAAACTTTTCTTTCTCCCTCAAGGAACTCAGAGCAGAGGCGTGCTTCGACAACATATTGTTGAGGGAATCTTCCACGTTTACAAAAACCTGGGCCATGTTGGAGAATAGGGACTCCATTTGCTTCAACCTATTTTGATCATCCTTCATATTTTTTTTTAATTATAGAGTTAATACATAAATTAATATTCATTTATATAAAATTTAGTTGAAAAATTCGACGATACAATCCGATTGGATCATCGATTATGTCAATCATTAAGAATTTCAAGTTTTTTCTTCGATATCAAGAGACTACATATAGTGTATTCATGTCAAGGGATCCAATCTTTAACTGTATTAGCTAAGGATGTGCATGGAAAGCAGGATTCCATCCCATCTCGAGATCAAAATATAGGATGCCGGAAAAATTATTTGTACCAAATCAATAATCTACATTCCAAAAAATTAGCGTTAAGTAAAGTTAACCCCCTTTTTATATCTGAACATGTGACGGGTTCGCGATTGGGTTTATGTCGTTTAGACATTTACGGGTTATTCAATATAGAAATTTTATATTATAAAAAACGAAACTGAGTGCGGTAATACTCGAGGTGCGTCGAATTATAACGCGCTAACAGGAACTGTTTTAATTTCGTAAAATTAAAATTAATCGATATATAAGTGTGATCAGCTGTTACGATGCGGTTACGACGCGATAACTTCGTTAAAATCGTATGAAGGTCGGGTTTTATGAATCGATAACACCATTATCATTTAGGTTAACCCAACTCCCCCCCTCCTTTTCCTACCATTTTTTGATTATTTTAAATTGATTAAAAATAATAAAATATAATAAAAAATTGAGCATTAAACGGATTTTTTAAATAAAAAGGCAACCAAGCCCAGAGCCAAGCAATACTCGAAATCTTATTTGAATCCGAAAAAGAGGTATAAATCAGAACTTCTCAGCGAAGGGTTATTCGAACCAATGACATATAATAATACCTAGACTGATTGGTACATTCATAAATGCACTTGACAGCGTCGTTGAAATGCAAATCAGCTGGAGCCGCCATTTTGGTAATCCCATATGTGGTAATTATTCTCATGTAAAAACTTATTAAATTGATGCTTCCTCCTCATTATCTCGAAAACTTGGCGCCAGACTTTGGAATAAATCGGCCTCTCGTTTAAAATTTTTTAATAATGATACGGGTATCCAAAATGGCGTCCACAGCTGTTTTCGTTGGTGTGCACTTTTAATGAACGCATTCGTCAGTCTAGGTATTGTTATATGTCATTGAATCGAAACCTAAAAAAACAACAAACAACTATTTTCTTAAAGTATTCAAATTAAAAAATTTCAAATGTATAACCATGGCGTCAATTTTTTCTTTCATAATTAGCAATCGCGGTAAAGCGTCCTGGTATTCGGATCGCCATTCATCTGAATTGTTTTTATCGGGAATATTTCTATGGGCCTTTGATTGACTGCCATCATCTTCTGAAGACTTTTAATAAAAAGAAAATTTTTTAATTTATGAATATAGAATAAGGTAGGAGGAGGCTAATAATTTTATTAAAATTGTGATTTTTTATTTCTTCCAATAAATCGGCAGAGGTTTTCGATGCCAACTCATGGGGGAATGAATGTATCAGCCAAAGCAGTTTTTTCCAAAGATAATTGTATTGGTCAGGGTTGCGAATACCAACAAAATGAACAAGAGGAAATATAATTTTATTTTAACAAAATGAAAAGATCAAAAAAGATAGCTTTTAACTTTAACAATATTATGTTTATATATTCATCGAAAGTATATTTTCGATAATCAATCATATTTATTATATAATTGTATACAAAAAATAAATACAATTTATTTAAAGTTAATACATTACACATCTCATTGAGGGGTAAAATTTGTATATATTTTCTATGGTTTATAAAAAATAAATAATAAATATAAATATATTTGCATCTTTTTTTGGATTACATCGAAGAAATGTTAATGAAAATATTTTTGTAATTGTGTATTTAATATTCAGAGGAATAATATAATATTTAAGAGAAATATTAAAATATAAAAGAATAAATATAATAAATATCAATTTTCACAATAAGTCTTGTTAATTCTTGTCTAACCTTATACATCAATTAATTGTCTAGTTTTTACTGATTATCTATTCATTTATTGTCAATCTTAAAAATTAGGTAATAGAAGTAAGCCATTGATAACATCCAAAAAATATAATAATTCAATATTATAAATAATAAAAATCCACAGTCTAAAGCTAGCAGATAATTTTTTAAACTCTTGTGGGGATTTACTTAATATTTTATAATCACTTGAACAAAATCACCAGATTAAAAAATTGTATACATTTTAATTTGATACAAATTTGTAGTTTATGTGAGTAACTAGTTTAACAAAACCCACATAAGTGCCAAATTATAAATTATTAAATTTAGGGTAAATAAGATATTCAAATTTTGTTTACTGAATTATATGATGATGAACTGTTGGAAGAATCCATTTCTGAATTAGGCCTTTCATCTTTAATAATAATATCATCATTTTTATTTTCAATGTTTTGGGTTTTGCTTTGTTTTAAGTATTTAGATAATACCTTTTGATTTTGTATATTTAAGTCTGCTAAATAGTTTAGTAAATTTATGACCTATTAATAATGTATTATAATGTAAGGCTTAATATGAAGTATTATAAAATTAATTATTTATTACTTGGTCTCCATAACCCTTTTTCAATTTATTTATTGAAAACTCCAAGCCAGTATCATGATTAGATAAAAATTTGACAATTTTGGATACAATGATATTGGGATCATCTGATTCTTCGGGCATTTTTATAGGCTCTGGGGGATTTAAACTGTTTATTAGCCATATTGCAAGGGATATAAATGAATAATATTGATCTCCCGTATTAAAATTTAGACAAAAATAGTGCCTATAAAAGATTAATTTAAATTTTGATAAATAAAAATATGTTTTTTAAGCATTATCAATTTAATAATCTGAATTTAAGTGTAAATAAACAAAATATCAATTATATTCATACAAACAATACAAAATTTGTATATTTTAACAATTTTAAAAACAACCAATATAATTAATAATACTTATTTATAGGAGTCTTGTTAAATTTTTGACAATAATACAATCCATAATTTAGTATATTTAGCTTCAGAAGCAAAGTTTCCATTATTATCACATTTTTTTTTAATTTAAGCCATTAATACCGAAAGAGACGTCAGTTATTATTATTTAATTTTGGAATCAGATTTTATGACATTTAAAATATTATATATTTTGTTTTCAGCAAAAAATTAATTAATAGGACAAAGAGTAAATCATTCCTACATGACTATATTAAGATAATATTCTCCTCTATGTATTTAGAGGAAAAATACATTATACGTATCTTAATTATTAATTCGAAACTATGTAAGAATAGCATATATTATTTCTCTGATATTAAGTCAAAAAAATATAAATATCTTAGGTCTAATATTTACTTCGGAATAATGATATATATTTTTAATTAGAAATTTTTTTATGTTCAGTTATTTTGGGATTTATTTTGAAATTTTGTATATTATTTTTAACCTCCAAATCTGGTATGTTTAAAATTTTATACTTTTTCTTTTCGTCAAAGAAATGCGCTAAACTTTTCTAAATAACGATTGTGATTAATGTTACCTATTGCCACATAATATATTTATTACCCATTTTTGTATAAAACAAATATAATGTTTTTAAAAATATAAGCGTTTTCAGATTATATATTTACCATTTTCAAACATAGATTGGCCTTTTTGTAATATCAGTTAATGAAAGTGAGTTTTTAGAAAAGAAAATTGTCACATTTTTATCACTTTAAATCTCTTAATTTATTTTTTGAGATTTTTTTTGGAAAATAATAAAAACTTGAAGATCTAATTAATTTTTGAAATTTCGAGCATATTTTTATCTAACTGAAAAAAGAAGTTTAAATGCAGTGGGATTACTATCTATTTAAATTGTCCATATTTTAAAACAAAATAATGATTAAAATAAATCTGTAACACAAAAAAAACAACAAAAGAACACAAAACAAATTGGCGTAAATAAAAAAAGATTAACATAAATATTATTACAACATCCATCTAAGATACGATTATCGCTGAAATTGCATAGCGATATGTTCAAAATATTTATTTTTTTTAATATTTTCCATACAAAACAAGAAAAATAAACAAAAGAATACACTAATATATCCATATAAACTATGTCATTCATAAAAATTAATTACAATTTAGCACCTCTTTCCAAGCACGCAGTGATTGTAATCGAAGATATTCGTGATTCGAATCGAATATTTAAAAACAAAAAATTGATTTAATCATAGGTATTTTTGGATCTGGTTAAATCGTATTTATCAACAAAAAAAAATATCATAAATATTCGTTTGTCTATAAGTAATTACATAGAGGTTAGATTAGATAATTTAGGTATAATTTTATAATATACAATAAAATTAATAAATATTTTAAAATTGGCTAAATTAAAATAAATATATACATAACAAATGACAATCTATTAATTTTGGACTATTCTAACTCGGTTGCTGATGAATCCATAACTACAACGGACATGCAAGAGTACAAGGGTCGTATTTTATTCTTTTTTTAAATCTACCCGGGCAGGGTTTGAAAATATAAAACCCGGACCGGGCCGAAAAATGATTTTAAAAAATCCGGACCGGGCCATGTAAATGGTACTTCTGCAGGTCTCTAATAATAATATCAAAGTGATTAAAAAAAAATACCTTGTAGATAAGATAATAATTATTAATAAAATAAATGGAATAGATTTTTGAAGTTTGAAATAGATAAAAGTGGTTTTAAAAAAAATCTAATTAATATTGTTAATAAAGAAATGATTCCCCAATTTATTTAACACGTGATTATTTTTTTTTAAAAATATGGATCATCGTTTTATAAATCCCTTTTTCACGCGATTTATAAATCGACGCGTCTAACAATTTTCCTCCTTCTAGGGTAAGGCTCTATGGCGCTAACAGTTAGGGGCCACGCCCCGCCGACGATCCCTCCCATGATAGCCACACCTTTCGCTACAGCTAGCTCGGGCTCTAGAGAAAGTTGAACATTAGTTACGATTCGATCAGGTTTTGTGGGTCTAGAATTAGGTGTTCCAGTATGATCATGATGAGTTTCATCTTCGATGCTTTCGCTGGAGGAACTTGTTGTGCCCGAAAAAAAATCAACTATGGCGCGATATACCAGAGGTACTTTGACGGATCCGCCCACCAAAACGACTTCCTGGATGGTGTCTGCGTGAGTATTATAAAATAGTTATATTCTTTCTTAGAATAAAGATGTTTTTCACCATAAAGATCAGTCTCGATTAGGAAGGGTTTATATTAAATATATGTTACAACGAGCATATTATATGGAGTAGGAAGGATAGAATGGTTTATATTAAAATCACCGCCCCCCTATAGTTTTTATATAATTTTGTAATTAAGTCAATAAAACTGGATCAGATGACTGACGTCAATCATAAGAAGAAAAAGACTAGTGTTCTTAAATGGCTAGAATCGAGCCGATTTTTAAAAAAGGCTAACTCAAAATTCTAGCCAGAAAATAATACCAATGCCTTGAGATTTCTTTAATAGATATCTAAACACTTTGTGCCATCTATGAGCGAAATCTTCAGGTTTATGTTGGTTTTTCTTGGATAAAATATTGAGTTAGAGGGGTTTAACAACACTAAAATACCCCCCTAAATTTTAGACATCTGATTTATATAGGGTTTAAATTATATTTATTAATTATTAAAATCCATCATGTATCTCAAGCACATTTTTATATCCTCGAAGTACAAGCTATTGGAGATCTGCATGGCCCGGTCCGGGTTTTCCACCTCAACACTAAAAAAAATTCTTCCAGTTCCCAAACCAGGACCCTTAATTTTTTTTTTGGCAAAAGTGGAAACCAATGATTTTAATTTTTAATTTTTTATCCAAGTTATAACTAAAAATTATTAGAAATAAAAAGAAACTATTTTTTTTTTAAATTTTTATACTTAAAAATTATTTATAAAAAATTTCTTAAATGAAATTAATGTAAAAGCTCCATTTCGTTAAAATATTTTGCATAGGTTTCCCTGGTTAATTAATTCTAATGTCCAGAAGCTATTTTGGGGAGTCTAATATTCTAAAAAAAAATTGAATTGCGTGAAGGATCTAAAAAACCTTCCTTGTCAGAAGAATCAAACCGAATTCCGCCAATGTGCAAGCACTCCCTCAGGGTTTCGATCACCTTGGCGACGGTAACGGCGTTTACTTCGTCGAATATTTTAGTGGTTAGAAGAGTCGTAAAATTGACCCTTTCCGTGATTAGGTCTTTTGATCGATTTTTTTTTAAAAATTATATATAAAATAATATAGACATCAGCCTATGTTTCTAAAAATAAATATGTATACTAATATATATTCGACTTAAGTAATGTTTTGATTTAAAAGATGAATATTAGTGAGAAAAAGTATATAAATTTTTCAATAAAGGTAGAAAAAAAATTCTAAGCGTCAGGCACTTCTACAATGGTATTAGGGTAATGACGTAAGATCGGCATTCAAATTAGTGAGGGGGGATAGGTGGGGGGGGGGGGGGGGGGGGTATGAAAAAGAGGAGGAATAATTTTGCTAATTTTGATTTAATAGAATGGTAGACTGTCGGCAAGTGGGTAATATCTTATTTAGACTCAGTGTACCGAAGAAGTTTCTTATAGAATTAGAAGAAAAATTTGAAAAAAAAATTGAGCGTTTTCCTCGAAAGACTATATTTATAAGAGCTAGTAGAAAGAACAGATATAAATTCAAATTTTGTTCTAGGTTCGAGTACTTTCATACAGATATAGTGACCTGACCGAGATAGAATGTCTGTCCAAATCCGACCTATCCAAAGTCGGTCAGATTAAACTCGGTGTCACGAAGAGCTAATATATTTTTTTTTCATAAGTCTTGAATATAAAAATAATAAGAGTTTAAGTTATTATCAGGGATCCAGCCCAAACCTGAACTAAAAACAGTTAAATATTTTGCAGCATAGCCACCCTTACTCTCGATATTTTACTGAACTCATGAACGAACCCTTTTTTAGATTTAGAGCTCAGGGTCCAAGCATTTTTTTTTATGGAGATTTTAATGGCGATATTTTAGAAGATATTCTTAAAAATTTTAAATAGAAATAGAATATTATTTTTTTTTAAATCAAAAACAGTTATTGTTAAAATGTTTAACCAGTGCTATTATATCTAACTCTAGATTGGGCGATTCATTCGTTAAAGAGTCCTCACATTGAAGTCAGCTGTAGCGCCATTTTGTAGTTGATCAAATGCCTCGATCATTATTATATACCTTATCTTGTGTAGCACGTTGGTTCTTAGAACTGCCCAAAGTTAGCGAAAGTAAATTTTTATGAAGGCCAACCCTTCATAAAAATTAAGCCGTTTTTTTCTTAAGGATACTAACAAACCTTGTACTCAGTAGGAATTTAGCCAAAATGAGTGGAACCTTAACCCTTTCCCAATTTTGTAAAAGCGAGATATTTAGTAATGAGTATTATAAAAGGAGATATAAATTTAGTAATCTTATTTATTTTTGAATCCATATAATCACCACATCAATAATATAGGATGAAATAAAAAATATGTACAGCAGTTTCCATTTCATTATAAATCGATCATCACTTTCCACATTACTCCATTAATGTAATCTCGTATAATTTTTTAAATTGATTGGGTCTAAGAAATAAATATATGATTTAATAAAATTTATATGCCGGTACAAAATCAGTACAATCACTTATCAAATCATACTAGATCATTTTATCTAACTTTGAAGATAAACCTACATCTTACAGGAAAAAAAATCTAATCCCATAATGTATATATTTCAATTTGTAAACATAACAATACATTATATTAATTAAGTTATATGATGAAACTAAGGAAAAATGATCAAATGAATCCTAAACCTCAACCTATGACTTTATCAAGTTTTTTTTCAATTAAACTTTATCAGTGATCTCATGAAATAAAAGACTCGAGATTTGCATATTTAAGCCCACACAGCTCCAACAGTACATCATATCATTAATTCCACAATTCCACCTCTCATACAAAAATACCAAAATTACACTCCATACAAAATATTTCATACTTATATCTATAACACCGTAAAATATACCACCTAATAATGTCCAAAGCTTATATATATAAATTGCCAAGAAATCTTATAACCCAGATTTCTTTGTCTCAATCAAGATAATAATAATGAAAATACTTATTTCAATCATATAAACTTTTAATTTATCTAACTTGATTAATATTTTTTTTTGATTATATATTTTCATCCTTCTTCTTCATTAGATCATCACTTATAAAAAAATATTCAATATATTTGCATTAGCATCAGGGATAATATACAAGATCATAATTTTTATAATATGCCTAATATATGGCCAATTCCATATACAATATAATTTTTAGTTTATATTAGAATATAAACATAATATTTTACGTGATTTATTGATTATTAAATTTGTATTGCTTTTGTAAAATTTTGTCACATAACAGTTCTCAATGCTTGGTTACTTAAAGTCAGCAAAAATGAAAAATTTGGTTTTTAAATATCTTAAAAAAAAATAGTATTGCATCTGATAATTGGTGGATACCTGTGAACAATTAATTTTAGTGAACAATTAATTTTACAAGAATTTGAAAATGGCGGTGCCAAATCTCATGTTCCCATAATATGATCACAAAGATCAATATAAATATTTGTTCCTATTATTTTGGAAAAAGACCAAATATTTTCATCTTTTTTTTAAATAATATTTTTCTGCTTTGATTTCATTATGACAGGTTTTCTAAATGAACTTTTATAATATTCTGCATAAATTTGATATACTATGTAGGGTATCACTAACCTCCCATTTATTTTAAATGTTTATTAGCATATTGATATTATTATCATTATACAAATCACTGACCATAGCTGTAATGCAAACATCAAATCATACCTTTTTTTCTATTTATAAGTTGTCATATCATACTATATATCCCTAAATATAGGTTTATACATTATCTATGATAATATTACAGCATCATGATTATATTGAAAATTGTAACATATTATATGTATATATTATCTAAGGTTCTCCCATTTCATGTAATTGTTGAATCCAATTTTGCCATTAATAAAGTGCGAATAGCAAATCAAACTTGTTTTACTTGATAGATTTATCATTAAATCCACTCTTGCTTGCTACTTATACCAAAATTCCACATGCAAGGCTTTGTAAGTTAAAAAGAATCTTAAAAAATGTTATTTATATTATAAGTTTAATTAATGAATAACTTTTGTTATATGTTAAAATATAATACTTTATTTTGAGAGTTTTACCAATTACTAATTCCTTCCCAATTTCCAGCATACTTACATGGAAAGAATTTCTACACATAATTTTTTTTTATAGATTTATAAATATAGTCCATTTGTTAACTTTAAAGATTTTAAATCTAATACACTCATCAAAATGAGATTCATATTCCAGAATCGTATTTATCTATAATGGTGCTTTATATCCATTCCCAAGACAGTTTCTTGTATTAAGATAATCAAACATTTTATCAGCTTGTTTATTAATTTATTTCATAATTTTTATTTTACTGATCTATCATCAATGTACCGTCACAATTTTGAAAATTCAGGTATTGCCTGGTGTTAAGCAAAAAGAAGACTTTTGACAACAGATGCACTAAAAACTTGAGCAGCTATTTTTACCTTTAAAAATATTTATTAATAATAATATATTTATTAACATACTTTCATTTTTTGTTTATGGAAATGCAATATATGATTTGCGCAATTTATTAGAAGTACGTAATCCTTCAAGCTCCCACAATTTATGTAAATTTTGTATAAACTTACAATTTATTAACTATAAATACAAAATAAATCATTAATCAAATTTTATATAGCTAAGCTACCACTCCATTTGATTCATTAAAAATTCTTCTTCAGCTAGTGGATTTCTTAATAATTTTAGCATATGACATACATCAACAAAAGCAATATTTCTATTTCTAAACTGATTTCAAATATCGTAGAAAAATTTGGTGAGTGATGTATTGCTCGACCTAAATGAAACTGGAGTTATCTGTTAGACCATATTGTGTGATGGTTTATCTGTAAATAAAAAATGTGAAAACTGTGTGGTTTGAGCATGGATCTTGATGATATAATTCCATAAAATTAGCAGGAGTGCTGTTTCTAATTAAAATATAATGTCACTAGATGTATGTCATATGCTAAAAATTATTAAGAAATCTACTAGCTGAAAAAAAAATTTCTAGTAAATGAATCAAATGGAGAGGTAGCTAGTAGCTATATTATATTAAATTTGACTTAATTATTTTTTTTGTATTTATAGTTAATAGATTGAAAGTTTATACAAAATTTACATAAATTGCAAGATCTTGATGCTAATAAATTGGGCAGCAAAGCACATATTGCGTTCCACAAACAAAAAATGAAAATTTGATAATTAATATATTATTAAATATTTTTAAAGGTAAAACTAACTGTTCAAGTTTTTAGTGCATCTGAAAATGTGAAAATAGGCCTTATCATAATGAAATCAAGCATAAAAATATTTTTTAAAAAAATGGAAATATGTTTTTTTCCAAAATAAAAGGAACAAATATTTATATTGATCTTTGTGATCATATTATTGGAATACGAGATTTGGCACCGCCATTTTCAAATTCTTGTAAAGGTTACAATTATCAGATTCAATACTATTTTTTTAAAGTTATTTAAATATCAAATTTTTCATTTTTGCTGAACTTAAGAAACCAAGAGTTGAGAAATGGTATGCGGCAAAATTTTACAAAAGCAAACAAATTTTAATAATCAATAAGTCATGTAAAATAATGTTTATTATTTTTAAAAATTATGTTGTATAAGGAATAGGTCATATATTAAGCATATAAAAATTATGATCTTTATATATTACCCCTATGCTAATGTAAATATATCAAAAAAATTTTATAGGTGATGATCTAATCAAGAAGTATGAATATATATAATCAAAAAATGATAATATTAATAATAAACAAGTTAGATAAATTAACTTAAAAGTCTATATGATTGAAAGAAGTATTTTCATTTATTAATATCTTGATTAAGACAAAGGAATTAGTGATAAGGTTATTGGCAATTATTTATATAGGCTTTGGACATTATTAGGTGGTATATTTGATGACGTTATAGATATAAGTATGGTATATTTTGTATGGGGTGTAATTTTGGTGATTTTTGTATGATAAGTGGCATTGTGGAGAATCTATATATGTTTCTTTGGATATTCTGTGTCATATTAAATTAATGATATGAAGTAGTATTATTGGGTTAGCAATGTGGCCTTTTAAATATGTAAATCGGGAGTCTTGAGATCACTAATAAAGTTAAATTGAAGAACTTAATAAAGTCATCAGTTGAGGTTAGGATTCAGTTGATCCTTTTCCTTATTTAACTAATTATTAAAATGTATTGATGTTACAAATTGATTATTTTCTTAGCACAGCAATATAAATATATTATCAATTTGTTGATAGGCAGTAAATTATATGAGAATTTTATATATCGCTAACTAAAAGAATTCCTCATCTTAACTTTTGAGAAATAGGGAAAATGTTGAAACAAATCAATTTTTAAAATTATATAATAGGCATTTGATCAACGTACAAGCTATTAAAAATGGCGCTATCGCTTTCAATGTGAGGACGATTTAATAATGCGCACAAATTGAGCGTTTACGTTTTGCCGTAATTTTAAATAAAAAAACGTAACGCGTCCCTCGTTTAAATCGAGGTCCTCTTTTTTTTATAAATATCCGTTCGATTCAAAATTTTAAATATGTTCTTTTAAAAAAAAAAGATTTGTCTTTGAAAATAAGATTATCGTCTGCGTTCTTATTTCTTTAATTTCTAATCGTCTGCGTTCTTATTTCTTTAATTTCTAATTATCGTCTGCGTTATTATTTCTTTAATTTCTCAATATTCCTATTTTAGGATTACAAGTAAATTATTTATATTACATTTTATAAAATATTACAAAATGAAGAATAAAAAAAAAGGTATTGAAAAAGCAAATCTGTTTGCGTTTTTTTTTAAAATGGTTGTTAACGCCAAACGGTGATTTTAACAATTTGTGCGAGACCATTTGTAAGGCATTATTGGCGCTTGCAATGCTAATCTATAGTTATATATCATTGTTTACCACCATTCTTTGACTTTTCCTATCAAAATGCAGTCTTTCATGTTATAAAATTAGCTAACTCTTCTAATTTATAGTTATAATCTTCAAATTTTAAATGACATTTGAAATTTTTCTACTTAATTACCGAAAAATTGTAAATCTACCTATCTTCATAAAGCACTATTACAAACAAATTATTTTCTTCATTGTGTTATTTATTGATTTGTTCCCAATAATGGAAGGTCAAAATTTTGAATAATAGCAATTCCCCTATTGTACCAGTAATATACAACTTTTAAAAACTATTTATTATAATCTTGAACCTTAAGATGCCCACAATGTCTTAAACATTCCACCTTCCAAGTTTTAATAAACACAAATGTAATGTTCTTAAATAGTGATATATTTGTAAATGTTAAAATGACTCTATTGGTAAGATCAATATCGTAATCCGATACTTACCTGATAACATTTATCTTCCCTCCTTATTCTTTGATACCGCCAAGCCTAATATTATTACTCTCTATATTGCTATTTGACGTTGCCACCTACCCAAGTTAAGCTATAGAAACGCCATCGAAATTATTTTTTTTAGAATTTTGCAGAAAGAAGAGAATATTGAAAATATTTTAATTGCATAATTCTATATAAGTTCGATATTCTTTTTATGAAATAGTCTATAAGATTTTTTTTAAAAAATCAAGTGGAATATGCAAAAAGGTTCAAAATCAATTTTAAAAGGTTTCACTTAAACAGATAATCCTATTTTTTTCATGAACAGGTATTCATTAGACTTCAGATTTCTGGCTGAAACATATTCGGTATATCTAAAAAGTAAACTGTCCTATTATATCAATCAAAACGAAAAAAAAGTGTATTTTATTTTATATATTTTTTTTTAAAAACCTTGATCGTTATTCACATCCCGTGTGCCAATTTCACCGCCGCCCATATAAGTGTCATCCATATTGTCGTTTTCTTTAGCGTACGACAAGTGCAATTCCAGGGCTAACTCGTAGGTTTGAACTGAGGAGTTGTAAATGGAGTTAAAGCTACATAGGGCGATCTTAGCTCTTTCTATACCCGTCTTAAGTCTCTCCAAATCCTCCCTCCGAGATATCTTGGCACCCGAGCCGTATTTCGATTTAAGGGATTCGTGTATAACATACTCCAATAGACGCTCGTTAAAATCTTGACCGCCTAATCTGTTGTTACCTTTAATTTCATTGTAATTTTTTTGTGTAAGAAAGATATAATATGAATTATTGCGAATCAAAAACAAAATCATTTATTTTTGTATTGATTTACTTAATCAAAATATCAACATAAATTAGATATAATTACATATTTATAGAGAAAGGCTGCATTATTACTTAATCATTTATATTAGGACTGTGCCGATATTTTTACCGATATTGAAAAATAGAAAACAAAATTATTTTATGGAAGCATTTAGAATTGGACTATTTAAAATTTGTTCAAAATTGGTGTTTAGACAATCCACATGGGTTGATTCTATTTGCCTCTACCAACCACTCCGTAACATATTCTATAGTGTTACTAACTTCCCAAGATGGTTATGTATTTAAAAATATCTGTCGATTGGCTTTAAGTATCCCGGCAAAAAAATCGGTGCAGTCCTAATTTATATTATCTCGCAACCAGCCCCTTGTAAAGTAGAGCGTAAACAGAAAAATGGGACTCTTTTTTCAAATTATACCATCATCCCTAATTTTTCAACAAGAAATTTTAAAATACTTATTTTTTAATTATGGATTTACTCACTCAATCAATGTGCACCAAATCAATCTAACCTACAGTTGGAACATTTAACCAAAAATGAATGGTTTTAAAAAAATCAATTACTTTTTTTGCGTTTTTTAGATTTATTTTGCATATAAATTGTAACATCATTAAAGGGGTAGACGCTCTAAATGTCCAAAATAAAAACCGCTAAAAAATTGGGGAATCTTGTTTATTCTCCTAGAAAATATTATTTTAAGCGATACTTAAAATAATAATAGAAATGATAAGGAAGTGAACCACTATGTATTTTAAATAGATTATTTTAAGAAAAAAAATAGTGTTAAAATAATGGATAAAATATCTTCAATATACTACAAGAAAAATCCAGATATTTCCCCAATTTAACAAGAATTTTTTTTTAAAAAAAAAATTTAATTGACATATAAGTAAATTATTAGCTTCCCTATTATCTAGTGTTGTTAATCGAATGAGTCGAGTCGACTTAGTCGAAAACTGAGCCAAGTTTTGGGTCGAAAAAATCTACCCAAACTGACTTGAGTTATGAAGTGGGCTCGTGAACTCAAGTCGACTCGAGGCATAAACATGAGTGGAATAGAGGACGAATATTTCAAATTAGTTTTTGTATTATCTTATTAATATTATTTTCGATATTGATTTTTAAAAAAAAATTTCTAGGATATAGGCACAATCTCCACTTTTTTTAATATTTAGAACGTGAATTTTAAATAAATAATATAATTAATATTATTCTAATTTGAAGAATATCTATAATTATTTTGGCTGTTATTTAAACAAAAATATTGGTGCAATCCTAGTGGTCATAATGAAACCTGATTAATTTTTTAATGATCAAATAGTAATTTTTACTAATCAAACTTTTTTTCTAATAGGTCAACAATTAAATTTTTATTCTTACTATCCCTCTCTAATTAAAATTCATTTTTTCTAAATCTTGCCAACATGTTTCAATTCACTAAACAATCCTCAAAAAAAAAATTTTTATAAAAAATGTTCGCTCTACTATGGCTTCTTGCTACTATTACTAAAGGGTTCCATCTCATAGCTATTTTTCTTAAAAAACACTGTCCTATTTAATTAAGAACACTATTTATCGCATCGATTTTATTTATTTTTTTCCCTCCAGAATTTAGACCTTCTTTCATATTCATTGAAATTATAAATAACTTGAATTTCTTCCTCAATACATTTTGGGAAAGAAAGGTCTTAATATTTTGTTTAAAAAATCATAAGGACAGGGAGGGGTAGGAGGATGATAATTTGACAAGCCCAAAATAAGATATTACTCAAGGCCATGGTTGTAAATAGAACCTAACTGTTCTAATTTTCTCAGCTTCATCGTGATGAAGTCTTGTATACATCGTTTTATTTTTTTATGTATTCATTTTAAACTTAAAATATAATTTAAATATTTCCATTTTCCATTTTTATTTCATTTTATTTTGGGGAAACTAAAAGTGAAGTCAGGAGGGACTCATTTTAAGGAATTATTCTCTCTAAAAACAATATAAGATGTATAACCTGCTAAGGCTCTAACAAAAAACATGCCACCATGCAGAGTCAAGAGCGAAATATCGGTAGTCCCACCTCCTATATCAATCACTACTACATTGTTTAAATCTTCCTTCAGGTGGAGCCCATATGATAGAGCGGCTGCAGTGGGTTCACTTATAACTCGTAATATTTGGACACCTTTCAGTTTTATAGTTTTTTTTTGTTTAAAAAAATATAGTAGATAATTAGGAACTATCTTTGTAATTAAAATTAAATTGTTCTAACTCTTTAAGATTTTGTTTTTATTTATTTTAAAAAAACATATATTATTTTGATGTAGTTAGGTCTATTTTTAATTTCAATAAACCAAAAATATTGTTTAAAAAAGAAAGTACCTGCTAATCTTGCAGCTACTATTGTCCCACTTTCTTGTGCATCGTTAAAATCAGCTGGCACTGCTATAACCCCTTTATCCATCTTTCTTCCAACCATCTTTTCAGCAATTTTTATCAATTTCGATATTATTATGGCTCCAACACATTCTGGACTGATTAAAAATATCTTGGATGATTCATTCTTGAAAAGTTGAGTATGGTGGATACCTGAGCATAACTTATTAAGGGTTCTAGCTAAGGTATTGATAGAATCTGTCCCTATCATACCGGCAGTTTTTATTTGGAAATAGGTTCTTTCATTATGGTTTTGAAGCTGATATGGTATAGTTGGAAATTAATTAATGTTAAAGGTATATAGGAAATACTTTCTCGATTTTAAATACATACATAAACTCTCAATCATTTTAAATTAATTTATTTTAAAATATATTTGAATACATCAAATGGATACAATTGAATGAGATGGGCTAATTCTGTTTCAGTAAAATTTTTGCCAATAAATCTCTTAGCATCATACAAAAGATTAGTGGGATCAATTTGAGCTTGTAATTGAGCTTCATATCCAACTATTATATCACCTTTTTTACTAAAAAATTAAATTAGGAATTTAAAAAGGTGCTATATATAATATTAATTTCTCGGATAAGTATTCTGTTAATTATTAATACATATTTCATCAAAATGGTTAATTAAGATCCCAATTATAAAATATAATATAAAAAAAATATGGCATTCACTTTATTTGCTTAAAAAAATAATTAGGTAAAAATAACCATACTGAATAATTAAGTTTTATATTAAATTGTTAATTACTTAAAAAAGATTTGACTAGGAATGCTTTTAAAGGATTGTTCAATCTCATATACCGTAACATCACCAGTAACAGAATGGTAAGTTCCTATCGAGGAATAAGTGGTCCCTAGGTCTATACCAACAATTTTTGGCTTAGGGGGTGGTTGATACTTTTGATAAAAATATGCTGATATAAGAAATGCAATTATTGACAGGCCTTTTTAATAACAATAAGTATAAGATCATACTATAAAATTTACCAATTGAAGGGAAATATTCCATGCAAAGTTTGCATTTTTTTCAAATCATACTAAAAAAGTCGGTTTAGTATAAACTAAGAATTTACTGGTAAAGCGATAATTGACACTGAAATTAATAATTGGCAAGATAATAAATAATAATCTATATTATGATATTCCGATTTATGATGACATATCAACGCCATGTCATCGCTACGTTATTAAAAATTTATTAAATATATTGAAATCCAAGTTATCTTGACAGGGGCGTGACTGCCTTTACATACTCAGGGAGCTCGAAATTTTTTTAAAATTATATTCAAAATTACGGCTAAAATAATTCGAAATTACCTTCTTTTTTTAAGATAACAATATCTAAAATTACCTCACTGGTAGTAGTTAGACACTAATAAAGAAACATAGCATGTTTTAGAATTATTACTTCCAATTGTTTAGTCAACTTTAAGGGAGATAATATAAAGATAACCACGGAAAAATAAATAATATATAATATTATTTATAAGAGGAACTCTTAAAAAGTTTAAGCAAAAAGAAGTTTGGAGATTATCCTCTCTAAATTTTTTATTGAATAAATCCTGGCAACGCCACGTGTTGTAAATTCTGATCAATATCTTTGTATATATTCATTTAATAAATTTATCAACTATAATTTATAATATTATAACTTTTATATAAAATAGGAACCAGTGACGAAGCGTCAAGTTTACTACTAGAGAAGCAATTGAAAATTTTATTAATTTTTATTTATTAGTCAAACCATTAAAAAAATTAAAATTTATAAATAAGTATAATTCCTCTTTGTTTTTGAGTAAAATGATCAGTTAGTGAATTATAAAAGTTATTGCTAGATCAGTGGCGTCGCTAGGGAACGCGCAGGGGTTCGAGCCCCTGAAAATTTTGAATAGTCCCTTGAAGCAAAAAAATATTTTTTAATAGCTCATTAATATCCCCTTGAACCAATGCCCACTGACTTATTTCTTTTATAATTATCTTGAGTAATATATAGATTTAATTTTATAACTAAAAAATTAATAATTCTATCTAAATTATTCTTAAATGAAAACTATTTATTTATTAGATTAGATTAATACTTAAAATTTATATTTTCACTATGTCAGCTTGCAGTAAAATTCTGTGCTAAAAATAGTAAATTAATATCACTCACTAAATATTAATTTAGCATTAACAGTTTAAGCTTTATTGACTTTTATTATTTAAATTATTATATATAACCCTAATTAAATAATTATTAATTGAAAATTAACAAATTTAATTGTAACTAGCCGAGTCAACTAATCAACTATATTATTGATATTTAAATTTAGTTACCATGCCTCTTCTTAAAATTATTTTCAAGGTCCAAATCCAAATAAGTATAAGAGATTTATTTATAAAAAGTAAGTAAACATATATAGTTTATAATCCTTTATTAGATATAATTGGTTATAAAATATTAGGTTAAATAGCACTTTACAAACGTATTTGACAATTATATAATATATTACAGTTAATATTTTAATAAATTTTACTAAAACTTTTGATAATAAATATCTATATTATAATTTTCCGATGTCCTCACTACGTCATCGTGACGTCATGTCATCGCTACGTCATGTCATCGCTAAGTCATGTCATCGGTACGTATTTATTTTTATATTTTTTATTTGTTGATTTTATTTATTTATTTTTTACAAAAGGATGATCCTACCAACAGTCTTAATTTATTTTTAAATAGATTATATTTTTTATTATTTTTAGCGATTAATACTTTTAACGATTTATCACATTTGATTTTGCAAAAATGGATAGATATTTATAAATAATACTGCTTGGACGATGGTTCAACAAGTTAATCATTTTCCTTGAATTCCTGTAATCGGAGTGCCAGTAATTTAAAAAAATTATCTAAATAAGGGCACTCTAGGATTTTCATGTGAAACAGGCTGATGGCTATGGATCATACAATTATATTGTAAATCTTCAGACAACTAATCCTTATAATTGCCTTATTCACTTATATCTGTTTATTTTCTGAAGTTTAAATATTTAAATAAGAATATTAAATTAAGTTAATTATAATAAATGTTTTATCTACTTTATAAATTTAGAATAAGAATATTTAATTAGGTTAAAGCGTTGTGTAAATTTAATCAAGAAAGTGTTAATTAAAAATAGGAAATTTGAATGCAGGTTGATCTTATGTGGTTCAAAAACATTATGACCAATGTAAACTGGGTTACTCTTTAACACTTACTTTCACTAAGTATCACTAAATATCACAAAATTTCAAGCAACTACTTGATATAAATTGCCTTATTCAATCACATTTCTCTGTTTTGAAAATTTTAAATATTTGAATAAGTCTATTAATGCTAAATTAAACTGAATTTCTCATCACATTTTCCTGGTTTGAAAATTTTAAATATTTGAATAAGTTTATTAAATTGTGTTAAACTAGACTGAATGTCTCATCTATCTCATAAATTAGATTATGAATTATTAAAATTAAGCCAAACTGTTGTGTAACTAAAATTAATAAATTGATGACTAATAATGATACAGTTTAGGATGCTGTATGGTTTTAATTAACACAATAGATTCATTATAATATAACGGATACATAGACTTTTATTCTACTGAGTAATTTAAATAATAAATGTTGCTTTTGCTCAACCTTATCTTCCAATATAATCTCCATAGAGGAAATGAACGAAGGAAATGAATAACGAGTGCACTCTTATCTTAAAATAGAAAATTCTAAACTTAATAAGGAAATACTTAGCTAGGTTAAAATATTATATCTAAAAACAGATAAATTTAAACGTAACGTAGGAATGTAAATAGTTTTATTCTTCCTTTTCCTCCAATTTTAATCATTTATTTTTGGGGCCATTTCTATAAATGTTCACAAAATAAATCACCCTTATCTTATTTTGTTTCATTCGCATGACTTTTGCGCACAAATAAATATAAAATAATATTTAAGAATATATCTATAAACAAACATAGAATAATTCTGGGAAATGTAAATGAAAAGTGAATAATTCAAAAGTATCACTTTTTATCTCCTGATAAGACTTAATAATTCAGGCAAGTCAATTTTTTAACTTTTTAATTAAATTTATATTATTTTAATCATCCTACCTATTTTTAAGGCAATCCATTTTGTCAGGCTGCACAATATGTCCTTTTATCTCTTATGAATATTTTATCTAACTAACTGAAAAATAAACAAAGTACATTTTTAATATTTAATTTAACTAAATTAATATAACAATTTTTAAGGATCCTACTTTTTTAAAAGCTTACCATTTTGTCGGATCTAGAGATTTACCTATCTCCAGGTTTGGGAAAAAATTTTGAAAATTTCTATGGGTTGGCCAGGCTTGAGAAAAATTTTTATAAAATTATTATGAGTTGGACTGGGCTTGGAAAATATTTTTATAAATTATATTGGGTTAAGCTTGGGGGAAATTATGAGCTTGGACGTTTGATAATTTTTTTATTATTAACTAAGGGTCAGACATTGGCCTAAAACAAGTTATTTTGCAGGCCTGGGCTCGACCTGATCAAAAAACCAAGGCCCATGAAAATCTGATTTTTATTGTATTTTTAAATTCATTATGATTATTTAAATGTTTTATTTCAGTTCTCAACTACCAAAATAATTATGATCTTTCATTCAGCTTGGATGAATTTTTCAAAATTATTATGACTTTGTACTTTACTTGGCAATTTTTTTCAATCTTAAATATTATGTATAAAATGATCAGTAAATTTGACATATTGATATTATCAAGTAAAAGCTTTAAATTTATTCTTACTCGTATTTAGTCTTAGTTTTAATGGATTGAACCTGGCCTGAAGGGGGAGGGGGTAAAAAGAATAAAATTGGATATTTTTCAAATAACAGATAACATCTAGTATAAATATAAGAAGAAAATTCTCATTCCTTGTCATTTTTGACGGGCTATCTACTAGTAAGTAATAAATTGCTAATTTAACGCCATCTATTTATTTAGAAATATTTTTTTAAATTTAACATATTATTTATCTCAGAATGGATGTAATAAATTAGATTACTATTCTTCTCTTTTTTACGTGTTTTTAGGAAAGCTATTTTTTTTCTTATTTGAAAAACAGTTTTGAGTTAAATTTTTGATACTAGTATATTTTTGATATTATTACAAACTACTACTTAAAATGTGAATTATTGAGGACTTATTACTGACTGCTTAATAAATCAATATATAATATACTTATAATATTTTTATAAAATTTTAAAGATTAAATGTAGTTTAGGGTTAGGGAAATGATTTATACGTAAAATACTGAATATACTGACTATAAAAATAAACAAACAACACCAAAAACACGATCCGGTAATATTTATTAATTAAATATATACAACGCTTTGTTTTTCTTTCTTTATTAAATAATATGACTGTTGTGTTATTAATTTTCTGCTTGTGTATCTATTTTGTTTCTTGTTTATCTGTTTGGCTTATATGATAAATTAGTATCGATTTTTTTAGGATTCTCCTAATACTGGGTCCAATACTTCTTCAAGCAACCCTCTCACGTTTGACATTGCCGCTCCTTCCCATTGTTCGCAGCTTAATCATCATTCACTCTACGCCCGCTATATGTTGTTGATGGTCTTTGCGGACACCGACTTAGGTGTCCCTCCCTTCCACAATAATAACACTGACAATTCGTAATTTAATAATTTTAGAATGAATATATAATTTTTATAGAAGGGAGAAAACCAATTTCCAAAAAAAACTATAGAGTGATTTTATAATTAATGCTTCCAATTATTCACATTGACTGAACGATCTATGTATATAAAGGGAAAAGGTAGATTCTTGTTTTATCGTGGATAATATTTTTTGTTTAATCTTTATGTATGTTTTAGTATTTTTTACTTTTGACCTTATCACCAAATGTTAACAAACATATTTATAGACAAGTTAATAAAATAAAAATGTAAAAAATTGAGTTTTATTTCCAATAATAAGTTCATCAATAAATTTAATGGGTTAGTAAATAATATTTACTATATTCAAATTATATTTCGTTTTTCTCTAAATTTTATATCTAAAATATAAAAAGGGGTAGAGAAATTA